GAGCAGAAAATGCTAAAAGGGACTCAGGTTGGCTATTTCCCTACCCCCAGATCAACTAGGCTCTGGCCAAAGCCCAGTCAATTAAGCACTTGTGAAATAGATTGTTTTCAGGACAGTCTTTGGTAATAGAAGAGACTATCCTGGTGTATTTTTAAATGGCTACTTTTTTTTGTCTCTGTTTCTAATCTGGAGACAGCAATTTACCCTATGACCTCAATTCTCTGATGGAAGGGTTGTTGCTTTTAACTTGCTTGGCTTTTTTTCTTCTGAGGACAAGGAGGTACTAGAAGGTGACTTCTAAACTCCTTTCATACCAGACCATAGACAAGAAGTCTCCAACTCCTTTTTTGAATGTCTGACTGCTGACAGCTTTAAACCTTACATGCTCCTTCATCTACTGGTGCCCATATCTGTACATAGAGATGAGAAAGCTTGTGTTCCTCCCTTTGGTTCTGGCGAGTGATTGATTGAGTTCACAGAAAGCCTTGTTCCTATACTTGAATTCTCACCCGGGCCCCTCCCGTAAGCTCCATAAAAAACTCGGGCCAGGCCCCTTTCCTTGATGTCGCAAGGTATTTTTCACCTTCTCTAGAGGCTTGCTTTCCCCTTTCCCAAACACTTTCATCATAGAAGTAATAAACCTTTTCATGCTCTTCAGGCCCATATATGTTATCATCAGCACAGACACCTGAACTAAATCTCAGGCGAGGCTCCACCTGCCTGTGCAGGAGACCATAGCAGTTATAGAACAGGTACCACCCTGCACTTTTTGCAGAACTCTTTGCTTTATTGTTCTGTTGATAAAACTTTCAGATCTTTTTAAAAATACTTTTATTGAAGTGTAATTGATTTACAATGTTAGTTTCACATGTATAGCAAAGTATTTCAGTTATACATATACATACATACGTATATTCTTTTCAGATTCTTTTCCATTATATGTTACTGTAAGAAATTGAATATAGTTCCCTGTGTTATACAGTAGGTCCTTATTGTTTGTTGTATATATATAGTAGTGTGTGTCTATTAATCCCTGGCCCCTAATTTATCCCTCCCTGTCCTTTTCCCTCTGGTAACCATAGTTTGTTTTCTATGTCCATGAGTCTAAAATCTTCAGATATTTTGATATTAGTATATGTCACCTGTATATTTGTCTCCAAGTCAACTACACAATAAATTCTGTGGACATTGTTGGAAAATTGCTGGGCTGTGAATAGTGATCAAGTTCAGACTCACAGGAAGTAGCAGTGGAGCGCATAATTTGGTTGTTCCTCCATTTGTGCATAATATAATGATTTTTTTCTTCACAATGGTCTTCAACACTTGGGATTATTGAATTGAATAGTTTTTGTTCACTGTGAAATGGGATTTACTGGACATTTTAGTGCCCTATTACCCAGTTGCCAAGGTGATGGATTTTTTTTCGTATGTTATCCTTTTCATATCTGTTAAATATGTTTTGCTTCTTTTTTCCATTTTAAAATTATATCTGTTCATTTTAACTCTGCCAAGTAGCCCTTTTATGTTCTTAAGTCTGTGTGCATTGCAGATGTTTTTCTTCCCTTTTTTATGTATCTTCTAACTACCTTAATTTTAATTGTTTTGGATTTGTCTCTGGCTTTATGGCTCATTCTCTTTCTTCTATGAGAGGTATTCTTTCTGTTCTTCTATCAATAAAACATTAACATGTGACTTCTAAAAGTGGCCTAGTTTTATTTTTCACATTTGAATCTACAGTGAGTTGGCTATTGTGTATGGAATGAAGGGAAATATGATGTCTTTTTCCAATCGGATAACAGTTTATCCCTGCCTTATGTAGTCAGGTGTTCATGATGTTTGTGACTACTCTCCTGCGCTGCCCTTGAACAACTTTTTGTATTAAATGCTGGCCTATGGAAGACATTTTTCCTTTCCTTTGTCCTGTGTTTCTCTCTGCCAATACTCTCCCGTCTGAATTACCACAGAGATGTGTTAGGTAGACCGCCATAGAAAACTTTGTCCATTTTTGGACATTCTTTCTTCCTATTATGTTTGGAGGAGTAGTTTTTATTGAGTCTTAAAAACTGTTTTAGGTACTTGTAAAATTTAATAAATACGTCATTTGGGAGAGGTGACATCTGAGTGACACTGATTTCTTTCTAAGAACACATGCCCTCATTTTACTTATTTCAGTCTACTTTGACATTACCCAATAATTTAAAAAATTCTTCCTTGAGGGTCATTAAATATTTTGTAATAGTCTCATTTAGTATTGAATTAAGTTTGGTCTGGAGGAAGCCAGGAGCAAGCTTTCAAATGTTGTCCGTTGGTGTAATCAGATCAGATGGGCTCGGTTCTCCAAGTAACAAGACTGTGAGTGTACACGTGTGTTGTTGTCTACCCAGGAAGGTCTGTAGAGACTCAGGGCCCAGAGTTGTTTTGGAGGGCTAACCAGGTAGGTACCATCGCTGAACATGAAACAAAATTACAGTCTCTCCAAAGGAAAATAGGAGCTTATCATATACCATATTGTTGGCACAAACACTTGGCACACTGAGGCACTTTTATCTCTAAGGTTGGTGGGTTTACTCTCAAAATCACACATCCCAGATGCTAGTGAAAGATGAAATCTGTGAGCAAGCATTTCTAAGGATAAGCAGTCCTGGGCCTGCTAACGTTCACTGTCTTTTGCACACTAGGTAGTTGGACTTTGTTACGAGCAAGTGCTATTGTTCCAGTAGAAAGAGCAAGTAGGGCTGCCCTAGGCAACTGCTCCTACTCCCTGGACCCACAACAAGCGAAGCGTTCCCACACTGATGTTGCTCTGCCAAATAAGTGAATTCTAGCCTCAGAATGGGTGGATGCGAGCCTTTTCTCTGTTCCCTCCACATGGACATCAGTGGGTAATTGATCTCTTTTAGGCACTAGCATTTAGGAAATTATGCCGCTGGGGGGTTCCTGTGGCTGGGATGGGCTGTCATGGTGCTGTGCCTCATGTGGGAGCTCAGAAGAGAGAAGGGTGGCTGGTCAGGTATCACTTGCTGCTGAAATGAGAGAAAGGCTATTTTAGGTTTTTTTGAGTAAAGCGCTGTTGAACTCGTTGTGTATTTTGTAAATCTGTGCAAATTCACCATGAAACCATTGTAGATTTTAATGAAGCCCTTGCAAATTCCAAGTCTTAACCTGTTCCACAAGGTCACCAAGGCCCAGGTTATAGTTTTATGATTCTGCCAAAAAGAGGTCTTCTGTGATCGTACCATTTCAGAATGGGTGACTCTGTGTCCTAAAAATCGTACAGAAGCCATCCTGAGGCCCCTGAACATGGGGATTTAGTGGAGGTGTGACTTGTCACGCTTTCCTCCTCATGCCTGGGCTCTAACTCTCAGCAACTTCCTAGTCCCATGAGATGGGGTAGAGAAAGAAAGGCAAATTGAGTACGTGGTAAAGATTATACAAATTTTAATCTATTCTCCTCCACAAGAATATTTTTATTTAGCCACCTGGATCTGACCACTTCCATTGGCCTGGAGTACTTGGACTAGTTGGATCTTGTTACAAACTGGATTCCCACAGGCCTTTTAGCTTCATGTTTAGTGGTGGGAATAGAAGAAAAACCTTCCAATTCTTCACTGTGTTTTTTTTGTTTTGTTTTGTTAAAACCTCACGCAGGTGTGAACCTTTGCTCATATAGTGCAGCACGATATAGTGGGTATT